CTCGGCAGTCCCGCATTCAAAACGGTGTGTACTCCCTCCATTTCTTGGGTACTTGCTTCGTTCCCTTTGATTTTCTTCGGTGACCCCTGGCTGTCCACTTCCATATCCTCCCCCTCCTATTTTTTTCTATTATTACTCCACATGTTTTGTCTTCCACACTCTCCCTGGGTTTTCTCTTGAACTTCCCATTCCTCCCTCTTGGTTCAGCCCTTGGGCTGTTTACAATATTTCCTACCCCATCTTCCTCTTTGTTCCCTGGCACACTGTGGTTTTCATTCGACCCATTCCCAACACCCACTATCACACCACCACCACCCCTTACTGCCGTCTCTGTAATGTTTTCCATCCCAGCCAGGCTTGGATCGTTCCCCCTTCCCAAAATCAAGTTGTTTTTTATTCTTCTCTCCCACTGCAGTGTCATTAGCCCCCTTAGCAGTTGGACCAATCTTAAGTGGACTCGTGACCTCCTCCCCATCATCATTCTTCTTCTTACCCCCATCAGTTGTGCAAGTTGGTGGTTTCCTCCACGATGGTGCATCACTCCTGCTCTTTCCCTCACTATTCAACCAACCCTTCTTCCTTCCCGAGCTGCCTCCACTCGTCTCCCTCGGTCCACCCCGGACCATGTAATATGATTGAGGCTTCTCTGGGGCATATTTCATCCATCTCCCGAATTCAGCAGCTTGTCCCCTTTTGAGTTTTGTTTTACAGTCCTTATCTAAATGCCCCAGCCTACCACATGTGTAGCAGAAGTCTGGCAAAAACTCGTACTCAAAACGGCACCATATTCTTTCATCTTCCTTTCTCTTCTTCTTCCTCCCACCCGTTTCGTCTTCCTTTTCCCTCTCTTCCTCCTCCTCCCCTCCCTCCTCCTCCATTGCCCCATCATCCACTGGATCAATATCCAGAAAGATTCCTCGCATAAGTGGCTCAGCAATTCTGATTCACACCTTCACTCTCAGGCACTACCCCAACGCCGAGCCATCCTCACCCGAATCCACTTCTACCAATTCCCTATCTCATCTGCTAGATCCTCCCCCATTTCCTTACACATCATTCCCAAAGGAACATTAAAAATATGGACCCATATTGGAACTGTTTCAAACACATATTCATCTAGTGTCTTCCTAGGGTCGAAATCCTCCATCACTAGAAGCTCCTTGCCGAAGGTCCATGGCCCGTTCTCGAGCGCCTTTCGTTTCCCTGCCTCCTGATGGAACATAAACAGAAATCGGTTCTCCCCCATCTCCTTGACCTCCAGTCTCTTCATCGGGCACCACACTCGCCCCAGCGCAATTGCCATTCCTTCTGCATACCCCGACCTGTCCGAGATCAACTTCCCCATCGCCTTTGGCACACTTCCCTCCCTCGCCGTCCCCCTCTTCCAGCCCACCTTGACTCCCCTCCTCTCTGCCTCGGACAGGTTCATCTTCTTCAACATTCCTTCGACTCCCTCCATGCTACCCCCCAGCCTCCAAACGCCCGTGCGTCACCGGAGAAACAAAAAAAACTAGGGATTTGGTGGAAGTACGACCGCGTGCCCCAGACTCACACGGAAGGCCTCTGGTGGAGATGGGTTGGGATCTATGCGGACGAGAGAGGGAGGTTGGGTCGCTGGCCTCCGAAGCTGCCGAAGGCGGCTGGGACGAGATGGATCTGCCGCCGCCAGGTTGGGGGACGAGGAGGCGAACCCTAGGTCGCCACAAGAAGCGTCAGACAGGAGACCAAGCCGTCACACACGGGACGGACGGTTTGGCGCCTAGATCCGTTCTTGGCGAGCTCTGGTGAGGGCACGACGTGAGTTAGGCCAACTTCACCTCACGTCCCCAAACGAACGTCCAGTTTGGCTGGATTTTGTCTCTTTGGAGCGGCAATGGGTTCGCTCATGTCCCCTTCAGTTGGGTCCTGGGCGCGCCTAACGCGCGGCCGCACCCCAAATCATGTCCGGAGTGGACGTGATTAAAAGAAACTAAAAAACTAAAATAAAGCGAACATCCAGTTTGGCATAATTAACTTAAAAATAAATAAAAATGCCGCCCGCGCGCTCCTGCCGTGGCCGTCGATGCCGTGGCCGTCGCCGTCTTCGGTGGTCGCCGGTGTCGTCGTCATCGCTGACGAGGTCGACATAGTCCGGCGGCGTCCAGAGGTGGGACGGCGGTTCATGGTACTCGGTGGCGGGCCGGAAGGCGGGAGGTGCCTGCACCACCTCCTCCCATGGCGACGCCTCCTGCTCCGGTGACCGCGGCGGCGTGGGGCACCAGTTCACACCACCCACGGCGTCGGCCATCTCCGGAGCCGTGCACGACCAGCTCCACTGCTGGCCCACCAGGCTCGGGTGGAACGCGGCCACCAGCTCCTCCCCCATCACCTCCTCCGCCCTTACCATCTGCAGCTCGGGGAAGGCGACGTCGCCGGCCAAAAAGAGAGCCACCATCTACTCGAGGCCCCGCCATTGGCGCTCATCGTGCGTGTTCATGGAGTCCTCCATGACATGTTGCATGAGCTGAGCCTCCTCCTCCACTGTCATGCGAGGAGGTGGAGGTGGCGATGGAGATGGGGAAGGCGATGACGTGGGTGTGAGGCCGCGCACCCGCGTACTCCCGCGCACCTCCCGCCGCGGCCGCCGCGGCCCGGACGACGTGCCGGCGAAGTAAGAGGCGCGCCGCACGTCGTGCTCATCCCTTAGCCACGTGTCCCAGAGCACGGAGTCGGGGGCGTACCTATCGTCGTAGTAGAGGTCACCGGGGAGGCGGCGGCGGCGGCGCACGATCTCGTCGTGGCGCGCACGGTCGCCCGTCGGGACCGGCGGGATCGGGACCTGGTCGGCGGAGAGGTGCCAATTGTTGGGGAGGTGGACGTCGCTCCACGGGATCGGCGTCATCGTCTCCCAATAGCGCCGGCATACATCCGCGTTGATGTACTGCCGGTTGCGCTCGCCGGCGGCCCTAGGGCCGATGGTGAATGGGGCAGGCGCGGGGGCCCGACGCGGTGGCGATGCGGCCTCCTCTTTCACGGAGCCGCGGCGGCGTCCCGAGGAGGAGCCAGCCTCGCGGTCGTGCTTCCCCTTGCGGCCGTGGTTCCATAGCCCCATTGCTGCGAGGCATCCGGCCGGCGAGTTCGAGGACAGGGAGAGGCTAGGGTTTGGGGGTGTCGGGTTTCGAGGAGGCAGCGGGTTGGAATGGGGAGTGTGGGCGACGACCGGTCCACGGCTTCCTCATTTAAAAAGGACGGCGGCCATTCGCCCGGGCGGATGACAGGTGGGGCCAACCGCGTGTGCACATTAATGTCAAGCGGTGGGAGGTAGGTGGCCGCCTGCCACGCGGCCCCGACGTGGACGAGCGCCGCGTCCATTTGCTGTCCGCCGCGACCCAAACCCGGCGCATGTTTGCGCTCGAAATGAGTCGGCCCGGACACAAAACGGACCAGATGGGTCCAGGCCGTCGCGCGCTGGGCCGTCCGGTTTGTCCCTTTTACCCCAAACGGACGGGGCTGGACGGGATAGGGTCGCGCGGCGGAGTTAGTCTTATGAGGTCGTGAAGGTGGGGCTCAGTGGTAAACGCTTCAGTGGTGGTGTGTGCCTTGCTCTGCCAGTGTCGTCGCAGGCGTGCTTGGGCTGTGGAGGTGCGGGTGGCCTCTGGGCGAGCTAGCCACTTTGTTGACGTGGTGCGATGGAGAGGCATCGAGCAGCTTGCTCCTTGTTCGGTTCACGTGGTCTTCCACTGGCATGTGGCACGTATCGGTGGTTTAGCCTTCTCCTAAGAGGCTCATCGAGGTGGAGGGTCTCTGGGCTATAGGTGAAAGCTTTGGTTGAGAGGGGTGGGTACCGGCGACGAAGGCGTTGATATGTCTTCAACGTATTTATAAATTTTGATTGTTTCATGCTATTATATATTTGTTTTTGATGTTTTATATGCATTATTATGCTATTTGCTATTATTTTTAAGACTAACCTATTAACCTAGAGCCCAGTGTCAGCTTCTGTTTTTCCCTTGTTTTAGAGTTTCGCAGAAAAGGAATATCAAACAGAGTCCAAACGGAATGAAATTTTCGCGATGATTTTTCTTAGACCAAAAGACATCCAGAGGACTTGGTGTACATGTCAGGGAAGCCATGAGGCACCCACAAGGATGGAGGGTGCGCCCACGGGGTAGGGCGTGCCCCCCACCCTTGTGGGCCCCTCGTGACTCTGCCGACCTATTTCTTCCGCCTATGTATTCTCAAATATTCCAAAACCTACCAAGAGAGCCACGAAAACACTTGTGCTAGTCTATTACTAAAAACTGTAACGTTCGTCATTTACAAAAATTTCTTAAAAATGTTCAGAAATATAAAAAAGTGTTTATATTTTTTCATAAAATGCTCACAAACATATTAGAAAAAATTCTCAAATTTTCAAAAATTCCATGTATTTTTTTAAGAAATATATTTTTAATAAATAAATAAATCTCGTGTTTTCCTGGAAAACCAAAATAAAAACCCACTGAAAACTAATAAAACAGAAAAAAACCTCAAAAAAAGGAAAAACAAACTCACTGGAAACAACTCGCTACCGAGCCTTACACTACATGGGCCGGCCGCCCCGAGCGTTCGAGGATCTGTTGCGACCGATCTGTCAAAAAGGTCTGTCTCGCTCCTTCGGTTCTTCCCCTCGCTCAATCTGTCTCCCTCGTGCCGCCGCCTCGCTAGGGTTCGGCTCCACCGTCGCCGCCGCGCACCGCGACCGCCTGCCGTCGCGGCGCACCGCGACCGCCTGCCGCCGAGCGCCTCGACCGCCTGCCGCCGCCGCCACCACCGCCATCCCGGCGCTTCCCACCTTCGGTCTTTTCCACGATGCTCCGTCTCCGGCCGTCTGCCCTGACTCCCAGGCAGCCATAGTCCGAGCTCATCTACCCTGATTCCCTGACATCGACCCCCGAGCTTCTTTCCCGTCAATTCCCAGGGCTAGGCCATTCGCCGCCTTCCACGATCCATATCTTCATCGGCACCCTTTCACTTCCGTCATGGCAATGCAAGACCATCCTTCTCCGTGTGGCCACCACCCCCAAATCCTCTTGGATAAAAAATGTTTAGTGGGCGAGTTGAAAAATTCCACTACCGCAAAATCCAAGAATAGCAAAGGGGTTCACTTGGAGGTTTCTTTTGAAGCAGTTGACCCTCCAGCCATCTCACTGTGCCTGGTCAGCTGCGTTGATCAGACCGGGGATCGCTTGACAGCACCGCCTCGTATACTTGGTGTAACTGGAGGCTTTGTACTGCTGGCTATCACCTTCTCGGACAGTGTCAACCGTTACTTGTTCATCGACTATTTTGTTTACAAAGCAGGGCCTGATTTCGCCTCTCTTCATCTTCTTGCAAGGCCATACCCGTCTTCTTTTTCGCCAAACATGGCTGCCATCTTGCCTGTTAGTGATAACAGTGAAGACTTTGCTGTCATTTTCCCACATGTTGAATATTTCAGACTTGAGTCTCGCGAACATTACACACTCCACATATATCGATCTGACACGAATGATTGGCACTCTCAGGTCGCTTGTATCGCTGAGGATAATGAGACAAGGAATGCCAGGGATAAGCTATTGCTTCATAATACCATGAGCGTGGCATATGCAGAAAAGGGTATCATAGGTTGGATTGATCTCTGGTGGGGAATTCTCTTATGCAATGTTTTGGATAAAAAGCCTACCATCCGTTTTGTTCCGTTGCCAGTTCCGGAACCGTGTGATACGTCTGAGTTCCATTTGATGTTTGAGAATCTCACTCCAAGACCACACCGTCATGTGACGATATTCAATGATTTGATCAAGTGTGTTGAGTTAGATTTTCATGTGCAAGATGCTTTCTTCAACATGAAGCGAGCAAAGGATTATGGCTGGATGGCTAAAACATGGACTAGATCAATTTATTCAGATGTTTGGTGTGATGGCTTGACGATTGATACGTCTGAGATATCTTTCACCGACTCAAGTTTGCCGAATTTGTTGCCTGGGATGTTTGATGAGGAAAACAATTTGACTTGGAAGAAATTGACTAGTGCTCGTCCTACATTAAGCTTGCTTGATGACAATGTTATTTACATTATGGCGAACGAGAGCATGTGCCATCCGACAGCATATGTACTTACTGTGGACACCAAAAGTTTGAAGCTCGAGTCTGGTGCGCAGTGTGCTCCTCAAAAGACGGCGTGGTTCGAACCAACATATGAACCGTGTGTTCTTTTTAGCTCTTTTGGCACGACTTCAGGTACTCGTCCCTAATAAATTTACGGAGTTAACAAAAAATTGTAATAACCGGAAAAGCACTAGTTAATATGGTAGTCTGATAACACATGTAATTAGTTGCTTTTTTGTTGATGAAAACATTACTGTTGCCTTACATTATGCTTTGCATTTTTTTGCAGAGTTGGTTAAAGAATTTGAAACCAAAGGGACAATATTTGAAATCAAGGAAGGGCCGGTGCTCTCGGTGGTGTCGAAGCGTCTCCGTGTGCTGCGGAAGAAGCAGAATCGCATCGCGCAGATGGAGGAGTCCGTCGCTGCCGGCAAGATGCTTAACCAGGAGCAGAAGGAGCTCATGCACTCCAAGCCCGTCATCGCCGCGCTCATTGACGAGCTTGAGCGCCTCCGCGTACCACTCTCCACTGCTCTCACCAAGGAGCTCTCCACCGTCCCTGCACCTGCTGCCGGTTCCTCATCCTTTGGCTCCGATTTGTCCATCCAGGACCTCCTCGCGCTCATCTACTTCGGCTCCCTTTTTTATGTCAAGTCACCGAACGAGTTCATCGCCACCATGGTTGCGCGCAAGAACGAACGGAGCAGCTGCATCACCCACGGCTACGTATGGGATGATACCGTGGACCTGCTCGTGGAGAACGACCTTGACGCAGTGTCTGCTGTAGCGGCCCTTGCCGCGACTCGCCCTTCTTCCGCAGATGGTGTCTCCCACCATGACGCACTCCAGGCCTGTGCCCATCATGCCCGCCTATGGCTAACCCGTGCTGATGCGCCGATCCACCCTGGCTCCTCTGTTACATGTGAGGGTTGATATAGGTTTGTAATTTGGTTTGATTTGAGGTGATTGCTGATTGAAATTTGTGGCCTTTTGCTGTAGATGCTGCGGTGAGGTCCAAGTTAGACAGGATCATGGCATCAGACTACTACACAGCACCTGCAGTTGCTGGGAACCATGGAGCTGAAGGTCTGCAGGCACAGATGAGCATGACCGACTCACCAGAGGCACCATCACTCAAGGAGACCCTAGCTGCTGAAAATCACAAGGTGAAATAGCAAATTGCACTCCTTAGTAATTTAATAGTATATGCTTAGCATGGTGAAGTGATCATTGCCCTGAAACTTTGTTCTGATCTTTGTCAACGATTGATCTGCTGTAGTGCACAGTGCTCCTAGTATTATTATTATCATCATTGTTGCTGCTGCTGGTGCTTTTTGTGCTGATTCAGTAGTAATGATCAATGTGGATTATAGCTTTAATTGGAAAACTGTAAGGTCGATCCATTTGGGGTGTATATTATGCTGTTTCATATGGATGTTGTGCGCCGTTGCTTAGATATAACAGACAGTGCCTGTGCATTGGTGTTCTGGAAAAAATGCTGAAAATAATAACTTAAAAACTATGATCTTTGTATAATATTATGTGTAGTGCTACCACTATCTAGGTACAGGATGGTCTCTATTCTGATGGGTCTTCGCAGTTTGCAAACATAGTAATTGAGTTTTTGTTGTATTAAAGATTATAAATATCACGCGCTAGAATTCATCATATTGTAGTCATGCAATAACATGATTGTTTATTGTACATTTGTTCCTTTTTTACTTTGTTGGCCATTACTTAAAATGCTGGTTGAAAAGAACAGCAATCCCAATCCCTGGTATCAAAACATTCTGAAAAGGATACACATGTAAATTCTCTTGTATTTTATTACGTTTGTAAATTTAACGGAAAAAGCTGGCATTTCTGCAGCATGAGTGGAGAAACCAAGTTTAGCGCTCTGACAATATTTGTACCCATTGTGTAAAACAAGTTTGGAGGCGGCCTCTCTGCATTGCAGTGTGCAGGGGTAAGGCTTGCCTCGTATAATCCTTCCCCAGGCCCCACCTGGCGTAGGAGCTTCTAGCACTGGGTCTTCTTTTTTTCTGTACAAGTTTTGTGCCTCTAAAGATTACATTTTAGAGCCCAGATTTGTTTCTTTTGCTCAGGCGCAAAAAAGTGTTTGTTTTTCCAAGAAAACCTACTGGAATCTGAATGGTTCAAACATTTGCATGTGTAATTTTACCTGAATTTTAGACACTCAGAATTATTTATTTACCGTCCACTGAAGGAGCACATGCTCCTGGGACCTGGGGACCATTTTACTCCTATCTGTCATTCTTACTTCTTGTTGCTTATCTACTTTATGATTACAAGTCTAGGACTTGTGACCAACATTACTTTGATAACACAACTTAATAGTTGTATATTCTTTGGGTCTGGTAATATATGTTCGTTGGCATCCTAGCTGTGTACTTTGATATTATTGCTAGATTACTTTTCTGAGTTGCAGATTCTCTTTCATAACTATAGATCATTCGTAATCTTTGTTAAGTCCCGAGGGATCTACTTTGACTTCCATTAGAGGAATTCTTATTATTTTTAGCCGCAATCTCCTAGGCGCAATGCTGCTAGTTGCAGAATCTATAGCCCTATTGTTCTTGCCAGTTTTGCAGTTCGTTGCGCAAGCTTGATTGTTGAGATAGTATGTAATTATTTACTCAGCATTAATATGACATGGGTAAAGCTCCAGCCTCTAGGGCTCATCATAAAATCACTTGCAATTTAAATATGTATAGAAGTTATAGTGTTGCTCTTTTGTGTGTGCTAACACTAAAGGTAGTGTCATTTTCCTAAATTGCAAAATGGGATTTCTAACCTAAGAGTTCACGTTCACAGTTCTCCATTCTTTATAACAACATTGTGATATTTTTAGTAACAATTTTATGCTGGCATCGCTTCTGCATTGATTTCCCTAGATTTAAACCTGTGTGTACGTGTACAGTTCTTTATGCTTTTAAAACTAAAAATCATGGTATATTCACTGTAAATCATCCAAGCATCACCTACTGCATGTTGCCTCAGACATTATATTTAGAAACTGTACAATGTCCATCTCCACCTTTTAGTATTATGATTATTGGAACAAAAGCTAGACAGCACTGTCATCACCTTACTACACCTTTGGTAATATCACAGTTCTTTGGTGTAGAGTACTATTAAAATGCACCTACATACTCCCTCCGTCCGGAAATACTTGTCATCAAGATGAATAAAAGGGGATGTATCTAGATGTATTTTAGTTCTAGATACACCCCTTTTTATCCATTTTGATGACAAGTATTTCCGGACGGAGGGAGTACATACCTATGATAAATCACTGAGGTGGGGTACACATTTGAAATGATGCATTAATAATTAAGTAGTTCTCCTGGATAAATTGTGCTGTCTTGCATTTTCCAAACAGCCAATCATGAACTTGGGTTATCGTTTAACTTTTGTGGTGTTTTCCCATTGTTTTGGGTTGCTGGGAATTCAAGTACTGTTTTTATTTTGTGCCATATGATGAGAGACCTTATCCAACTCACAGCGGTCGTCTGGACACTTAGTGTGTAATGGTGCATACATATTTCGCTGATGGCATTTCAGTTTTTTATGCATAAAGGATTTGATTTCCTGGAGAGCATTGTGTTAATGCAAGTTTTAGAATAACCCGAACTCCTGAAACTTTTGCCTCGGTCTTCACTGAAGATTTTTGGCGTTATTTGCTGGTGGCTGCCCTGTGAGCCATGCCCATGCTAGTGTCTTGGTAGTTGGTGTAGATTGATATAGAGAAGAAAATGTAGGTACATGTAATTGTTATTCTTGATGAGAGGGTCACATTTCCTAGAGGACTATATGGTTCCTCCTGGTTAGCCGTAGTCTGATTCCAAACTCAATGCCCTTAACTTACTCGACTGGACTCCTTGCCTCTGTAGGGTCAGTCGTATAATAAGTAAATATATCTCAAGCAGGACAGCAGTTGCACTTTGCTAGGAGGCTAAGCTGCCAGCTATAGTATTTTCTTTTCAGGGATGCCTTTTTTAATTGTGCTGGATGCAAATAATCAACCACTATATCCAGAAAGCAAAAGCACTACTAATTTTCTGATACTAGCATATGTGATCAGTCATGACTATGAATGTTCACCTAAAGCACTACCATGTACGAAGTGTTTTCTGCAGATGAGATTAAAACAAGATATCTTGCTAGATTTATTATTTTGGTTACTGTGAAGTGTTTCTACTGTTGCTTAGTCGTGTTGGCTTGGTTATTCATTTTGTGTTTGTTCTAACACCCAGAAGCTGAGCTATGATAGACTGAAAAATGGTACACATTTTGTAATTATTAGATGAGTGTTTATATTTAAAATTTACACGGTTTTAATTGGGGACATTTTGAGGGGTCAAGTATTTTGTTTGTTGACCTCTGAAAGTAGAAATGATTAAAGCTTATATTGATCTTGTTGGTATGTTTACTTGTTGACAGGAGGACGAGGAAGATTCCTCGCATGCCACAGAAATCGACAATGATCATTAGTCTAATGCAGCCGATGTGCAAAATGTGGTAATGACTGGATGACCTGTGGAGTGTTTTTCTGTGTATATAATATATATCTGGCTGATACTAACATGCCAACTTCAGGATGGTAAAACCCTGGTGAACCCTCGTGTGGAATATCGCGTGGCTGAGGCAGAGCAGGAGAAATTTGATGTGAAAGAACAAGATCAGATGTATGCCGAGCCAAAAAAGCGACAGTTTCAGCACCCTCGGCAATCTTGTCAGAATCAGCGAGGTGGTGATCGTGGCTGGAGGGGGGCCTACCCTAATGGCCGCAGCGGGCATGGAGGCGGCCGTGGCATGGGCAGCAGATACGAGAATGGGCGTGGAGGTGGTGGTGGTGGCGGCCGTGGCATGGGCAGTGGATACGAGAATGGGCGTGGAGGTGGTGGTGGTGGCTGTGGCATGGGCAGCGAATACGAAAATGGGTGTGGAGGTGGTGGTGGATACCAGAATGACCGGGGTTGTGGTGGCGGATACCAGAATGGCCGGGATGGTGGTGGCAGCAGCGGGTATCAGAACAGCCGGGGTGGTGGTGGCGTGTAC